AAACGTGCGCACAACCTGAATACCATAAGATGCAACTTTATTCTCCCGCCTTTGTGCTCACACAGCGTCCCATCCGGAGTTGACCGCGCAAACTGCTTCTGCTCTAACAGTGCTTTGCGTGACAATCGGCCCTGGTCTAGTCGCCGAGACGTGCTCAGAGCTGACTCATGGGCACCAGCATATATTCGGTTTTGGAAGTATGTATGCGTGATTTGGCTTGGCGATCTGTCAACGCGTACGTGCATGATTGGGCGATTTAAAGGTCACCGGTGCCGGCCTAACACGGCCAAAACTGCCTTCTGTGGACTTGCACAAATCTGCAGTTTTTCCTCTACCCGTAGTTCCACCCTCCATTCCCCTCACCGTTTCTGAGCATAACTGCGCATACCGCAGAAGTGAATGTCTGATAATGTTAAAAATGAGCTCCTGTTCATGTAGGAAGAAGAACTAGTCAGAGCAAGAAGAATGCCTAACAGAAAACGAATTTGCCTTTTGGGCTTGTTAATGGCTCCCAAGTCTTACTTTCGTCATGTTTCGCCGCATAATACGGCAGCGAGGGAGACAACTGTGGTCCTATGAGTCAGTATTTGACTCTTGGGAAGTAATGCTTGTGAGAAAAGACGAAAGGGGAGCAGGATAAATGAGAGATGGTAAACGTCAGTGGTACGAGAAGAACCATCACAAGATGTAATTAGAAATTCTGGTAAGACGTGGAAGTGGAAACCCCGCACCCGTAGCGTACGCGATCTTGCGCTACACTCCAGGACGAATACCTATTCCTGTGTCCTAACCCTAGCCCAAACGTCAATCCCAACTTTAACCTTAACCCTAATCTCCCGGGAATCCAGCGTGAAGCCACCTGGTTCGCACTCTGTCCCGGAGGTACCGCGGTGGCAGAGTTGAATCTTCGGGGGCTGAAAGCAAAAAACACCGTTTATGATCCTACCTAAAACGCACTTTTGTCATGGACCACTTTAGGTTGTTGACTTTGCTTAGTGTTTTATAAAGACTTTCAGGGTTTTGTAGGATCCGGACGCGAGAAGCCGAGACAGATAAGCGATGCAGTCCGTAGCAACGAACCCGTTTATTTCCCCCACCCACCTTCCATTGCTGTCAGGATTGCTCGTTCAAACGTGTGCAAAAAATAGATGCGGTGCCGTAGGTTCGAGAGCATTGCTTACTAGATCCTCGCGACGATTTACATGGGCTTATAGTCAGTCTGGAAATCTGTATTTGTGGTATAGGCCGAGCAATCTATGTGAGCAGCAAAAAAACGTCCCCATGTACGGATAGCCGGGGACATGTGTTACATTCTGGCGTTACATCCAATTAATTTGAGACCTTGACTAACGCAACTTTCTCCTTGCGGTCTTACAGGAAAAGAACGACTGTTCAAGATGGATTTGCTCCCCAACTCTTCGCAACGGTGGCGTCAGCTATCAGCTGACGATGTCGCGGAAAGGACGTCATGAAGGATTTTATCTCAAAGACTACGATAAACGTAGGCAACTGAGTTAATAAGATGACGGCTTTATGCCGCCGCTTTGACTAATATGGACATGCACGAAGACAGTCAGTTAAACAACAGTATTATCCTACAAGGAAAGCAGGCGAGATCCTTTTTAAGCAAAAAGTCTGGAACGTCTTTGGTATGATAAGTCGGTTTACGTCGACTGCCCTCAGAATGTGCATAGTAGCAAAGTCCAGTCGAACGAAAAATTAGACTGGCATGACATCATGCTAAGTATGGGGCACGAAACCACTAAAGGAAGTTGACGTGGAGGCTCGTGGTTATACTAGTGTCTGCAGTCAATGATGGTTCGCTTACGAAGGCAAGACTACGAATACCCCAATGGACAAAATTCCCACCTGATGAATGCCCAATACGTGCAGGAGCTGTAGTATCAGTTAATAAACCCGATTGTCACATTTGGTTGAGATAGCTTTGGGAACCGGCAGCGCTGGAAGTAACAATAGTACCGACCACAGACAATTAAGGCAAGAAGTAAGGAGCAACACTCCGCAGTACAGTCTCATCGCCTGCCTTTTAAAGAGGGTAGCTGAGTATATGTTTCCTGTAAAGCAGCGCTAAGATCCAGAAAACGCTGTTTGCCTATGGTGAAGCCGATTTGTGTTGCATCTTCTTCATTCTCCTTCCACACACTCGGCGCTCACCCGTGGCAAGACGACTGGGTGAGAGTGAGTTGACAAAGCTAAACAGTCCGCCAGCTCGAGACATACGATCTGTCTCCTAATCCCATGCGTACTAGGCCTCATTCAGGCAGGTTTTTGGATGTCACGCAAGCGTCAAAAGAGCCACATCAAGGAACCATTACAGCCTGGTTCCTAGTTCTGAAAAAGACCAGAGTAGAAGGCTGACTAAAGGCACTAACAACCCAAAGCATCTGCTGTCCCATTCTCGCCTGTCTTTACCAGTTCATTCTTGGCGGACAATACCTGCTGGGAGAAAAGCTGACGGTACCATGCCGGTTAAAGATTACTTATACGGCTCCCCTAGATAGGGCATGGGAACAGGAAT